ATTTTTAAAGAAATTCCATGCTTCAAACTTTTAAAATATTGTAAACATAAAAATATTTAAAATCATGTAACAATTAAAAAATTGTTACTGTTACCCTCATATCATAAAGACAGTCTGTATCAATGTAGATAAAAAGTAGGTATGCAGAAGATAGTTCACAATGATATTAGAACATGTTAAATAAATCTCTGCTGAAAGAACTTTCACATTTTTAAAGTTTTTTTTATTTTATGTGTATTATTTTTCTGCATGTATGTCTGTGCACCACATACATGTCTGGTGTCCTCGGAAGCCCTAGAACTGGAATTATAGACATTTATGAGACCTGTTGTAGATGCTAGAAATTGGACCTGTGTCCTCTAGAAAAGCAGTCAATGATCTTAACCACCAATCCATTTCTCAAGTGCCTGAAATGAAATTCTAAAACTGATTTTTGAGACAGGGCATTAGTATGTAACCCTGCCACCCTGAAACTTGCTACATAGATCAGGCTGCCCTTTGCCTGCTTTTGCTTCCTGGGTGCTGGAATTAAAAGCCTATATCAGCATGCCTGTAGAGGACTGAAGAGGGCATAAAATCTTCTGGAAATAGTCTCCAAAGTGTGTGAACCACCAATGTGTGTACTCAGAACTAAGGTCCTCTGCAAGAGCAGCAAGCACTCTTAATCACTGAGCCATCTCTCTAGCCTCAAATTAAAATTGTTACTGTTATTTTTAAAGTGAACAACTAGAGCTCATTGAGCATTCATTATCATAAAGTCAACACTTTTCTCTCTTCATTATAAGAAATATCATAAACATTGAACAAATTAATAGTGAATTCAGTGATAAATACAATACATAATTCTTTTTGATTTTTTGAGACAGGCTTCACTGTGTAGCCCTGGCTGTCCTGAAACTGTTTGTAGACCAGGATAGCCGTGAACTCACAGAGATCTACCTACCTCTACCTCCCAAGTGCTGGGATTAAAGGCATTCACCACAGCTGCCCAGATACTACATAATTTCTAAAACACATGAACACTTAGCAAATGAACATTACTAGACAATGAAATTGAAGTAAAATAGTAATAACCATTGTTGCCTAGCAACACAGTGATACAGAAGAGAACTGAGAGGAGGGAAAAGCTGGAAAATGTTAGATGATTTTATGAAAGCCTATAAACATGAAGTTCTGAGCCTAAGAGACATGCTTTGAGGCAGAGAGCACCATCAAGCAAAGAGCTTCAACTGCTCTCTCTAGGGAATTCTGTTTCCGCTGCTCCGGACAAGAAGTGCTGTCAATGCTCTGAAATACCTTGTGCTGTCAGACCTGTGGCTGACAAAAATTTAAGAAGAGAGTAGAATGTCTCCCTCATACAATGTCTACTGCACTTGTTTGGAAATGTACTTTTAAACATAAGGTATAAGGGACGGATTGTGACACTGACCTTTGCACAGGGGAAGGAAGGTAAGGTCATTTATAGAGTGATGGCAATATGCCTAGAAAGAACTTCCCCAGACATTTTATCAACAGATTATTCATCTGCTAGTATGAAAACGTAGGTAATGCGGTGCTCCTAATAGAGCACAGTAACTTTCTGGCAACTGATCTCAAAGTGAAGAACATGAAGGATGTTCCTGATAAGGCATTCAAAAGAATGGTTCTAAGGAAAGGCAGTGAAGCAAGAGCAACTACGAAGAGATAACTAAATAGAAAAAAATACCACTGATTAGATGAGAGATTTTGCAAGGAGTTAGCATGGAATGCTAGAACACAACAAGTCAAGTCAAGATCAGCTAAAAGACTTGACAACAATCTACAGCAGAAAAAAAACTGAACTTAAGGACATCTCCTTTAAATATTCCAATCCTATGGGGAAAAAGAGAGAAAATAGAAGAAAAAATGGGAAAGACAAAACAGAACAAAAACCTAAGACAAGCAGGCCACTATCACACAAACAAACATCCGAATCTTGGGGCTTTAGAGAGGTGAGGTATAGAGTATATGTAAAACAACAGCCCTATGCTTCCCTAATCTTGGAAGAGATACAGTCATTGGGTTCAGGAGCTGCAGAAGAGTCAACCCGTTTTCAGTATTTTTTTATGAACTAGACAGTATTCACTGTGCAGCCCGAATGTACACTTCTAGATTTATATTGTTTTGCCTGTTGACTTGTCCTGCCTAACCAACAGCAAAGTTTTTAACCAGCTACCTTTGTCCAACTACCCCTCTGCTGGCCTTCATGCAGTTTAAGACTGTTTTCTGCATAATGTGAAAAACAATCGCAAATTTGAACAGCGAGATTTTTTATTATCTTTAATGCATGTTCTTTTTGACAATGGACTTTGGACTGGCATGGTCTTTTTCATGCACCTTATTATAGTCTGTAAGCATTTCGTTATCAAAATGACTACAGATCTTTCTCATGTTTGTGTTGCTTCCAGTGCCAACTGTAAATAGAGACTGATGGAAAACCTGAGTGGGAAAGGAATAAGACTCTTCACTGTGTTTAAAGAGGAGACAATGAGGAAGAGCCAGAACTAGATCCTAAAGGAGTTTGTTTTGTGGTTTTCCACTTATCTTACTAGTTCTCAATTGTCACAAGACCAATTGTCACTTTTGGGTCTTTTTATGTTTGTTTTGCTTATAGAAGTTCTCAACCTATTTATCGTGACTCTTTTGGGGTCAAATTATCCTTTCACAGGGTCACCTAAGACAGTCAGAAAACACAGATATTTACATTATGATTCATAACAGTAGCAAAATTACAGTTATAAAATAGCAACAAAAAATTTTATGTCTTGGGATCAGATCTCCACAACATGCAAAACTGTATTAAATGGTTGCAACATTAGGAAGGTTGAGAACCACAGGCTTAGATGGTCATAAACAGCTGTGAGTGCTTGCCTCTGCCCTCGAGAACAAAACTTAATGATTCATTTGGAGCCCACGTGACACTGTCAGTTCCCTTCCATATTAGACCTAAGAAGCACAACACAGACTAACAGCCTTGAATTGGTCTTATCAGGCCTTGGAGCATATGGGGTTCTAGTATAAAGCCTTAAGTGGCCATCTAGTGTATGACTTGCAATAGGCACATTACATGGCCTCCCCTTCTGGTGTGTACTGCAGGGACAATGCCTCCCCTGTGTTTATGCAGAAGCAACATCACACTGGAGATTTTTTTCTTAAAACTAGGACTTCCGTTTGGGAATTTTATTCTCTTGTCCAGTTATTTTAAGGAAATAAACTCCTTTTGAGAAATGATGCTGTGAAGAGACCATGGTGGAGAGCTAATATTTGCAGCTGCAGCCAGTGAGTGTGATGCTTGATTTCCCTCAGGACTAAGTGTTAAGGTCAGTGGCTGCCCTGGTTAATACCTTGATTACAACTTTATGAGGGCTTTCAGACTGAGGCACCTAAATAATTATAAGACAAAATAACTGTTGTTTTAGGTCATTAAATTTTCATGTTATACACCACAATAACTAATACATGGCTGTATCCAGCCAGAGAAAGGAATAACCACTGTTCATATAATGATACAGGCTTGCAGAAAGCATGTGATGGTAGTTTGGGAAATAGGACTGTGTCACAGCTAGGAATCAAATGGGAAGCCAAGGGATACCTTCTCATGAGAGTACTTACCTGTCTT